ACGTTTAGATTCTAGCTCGTCCGATTTTTACAAAAAAATAGTGTTTTTCGTGTGTAAACGATGTTTTAATCAAAACTCACTAACTTTTGTAGTGAGTACCACCCTCTCGTGGCCAAATTCAGCCTTGAAATATGGTTTTCAGGCAGTTTTTGATTTTTAACGAAGGTTTAATGTTTAAAATAAATTTTTAGATTATTAAAGTTTTAATCTTGGGTTTAAATTGTATTGATTTCATGTGTTTCAAGTCTCTAATTTTATTAAACAAAGGTTGTGGTTATTTTATGATTATAATGTTTGAAACTTTAAAGTTTAATTGCAAGAATAAATTTTCAGATTTTTGGTTATTGTTTTTGGAGTCTTTAATTACATTGAATTGAGGAATTTTTGGGTTTAAAGTCTACTAACTTTCTATATAATGTATGGTGATAAAGATTTCTATAATTTCAAGATTTCATGTGTAAAATAAATTTACATATTTTTATAAAGCTTTAACTAGCTGTAATTTCATGAATAAGTATGTATTTTAAGGGTTTTATGAAGGAAACTTAAAGAACTATATATAAGCTTTTGATTTTAATTAAAGGGAAGGTTTTAAAGAGTTGTTTAATGGAATTTTGAAGGTCTTAAAGTAAGTTAGTATTGCTGTAAATTTAATTGCTTGGGTATTGATTGGACTATTGTTGTTTTGTTTAGGAGAGGACTTTGTAGAAGGCGATTTTTAGTTCCTAAAGTGGCCAACTAATTCGTTTACTCAAGGTACGTACAAGGATATGAAAACCTTGACTCTAGAAGCATGTTTAAGGGCTTGGAAGACTTAGAATCATGTTAGGAAACTTGTGGATTGGTTAGAATTGTATGGTAGTAAGTTTGATTGGTGAATAATGTGATGATTGGTTTTGTTTCATGTATGAGAAATGCGTATTAATTTATCTTGTAAGTATTATTTATGCATTAACTTGCAAGATGAGCTTAGAGGTAAAGGTACGTGAATATGTGAAATGAATTATTTTATTACTCGTTCATGATTATTGAAGTGGAACGAGTAAAGGGAAAATTAAAGTCTTATAAGATGAGGTTGAGGATTGAGGTGCCTTATGCACTTAAGGTGTTTATACACCGAGGTAGTTAAAGGATTCAATACTAAATATTGTTTGTCACTAATAAATCAAGAATTGAATTGGAAATTTGAATTATTTGAATGATTGATGTATGATTGGTTGCATTGTTTTGCATTGAGTCATCACCAAGTTTAAACATGTAAATCACATAAAGTGCTATATGGATGAGCAATAAAACTCTGGATTTGTACACATCTAGAGTATTGACAATCATGGGGTTCACGGGGTATTAGCCATGTACTTTCTAGAGGCCGTCTGATATACGAGTCTCTTGTTTACAACTGTTTTTTTTAAAAAAAAAACTATAAGGAGTTAGATGAGATCTCATACTAGATATGGCCACGGAGTCGCGCCTGTCTGCCATTGGATGTTTATTAATGTTTCCGAAAGGAGGCATAGTGTTTTCTTTTATTAATGTTCCGAAATGGAGCATAGGGGGACAACCTAGTTTATTTCTTAATCCAATCAATGAATGAAATGAAATGAATTATTGTTAGTAATTAGTGAAGTCTTAGTAATGTTAATAGTTGAGGCATGTGTTAGAGTCAATAATTAAATTGTGTGTGCTGATTTATTTTTAGTAACATGCTAGGGACTATTTGATATATTTCGTAGCTTGTATGTACTCAGCATTGCTGATTGCGTGCTTTTGTGTGTCTTTTTCTTGGTCATGGCCTTCGCCCTTCAATGACCCTGTAATGATCCAATTTTTACACTTGTAATATTGGGGAGCAGATTAATCATAGGATTTTACATAATCAGAACTTGCATCAAGGTGGTGGGATTTTGAGTGGAGTGTTGGATATTTTCACAGTTTATTTCATTTCATAAGTTTGGATTTAATTAAACTCTAGTTTGATTTATTTACTACTTTTATTGGGTTTTGAATAAGGGCCTTAATGGTTCCAACTTGTAAGACTAAATTTGGTTTTGAAACTTATTGATAACTAAGTTAGTTTTTCCGCTGCTAAACTCTGAACTAGCCTTAACGTTTGAACACGTGGCGGTAGCACGTAGGTAATTCTCTTGCAAATTGTTAAAGGTATTTATAGGTTTTTAAGAGAGAATTATTGGGGTGTTAGTGGCCCTGTGCTACCACAAAATTTTGGCCTCTATAAAAAGTGCAGTTAAATTTGATCGTTATGATAATTTTTCTAGCAAAATGATCGAAGGTTGACTATTCAAACCTCTGAGAACGCATCTATGATCTCTTTGACTAAATTGTATACTTGTACTACCACTATTTTAATAAGTGTTACCCACTTGCATTTTACGCGGTCTTCAATCATTACTTTGACCATTAATTTCTTTTATTGTGCATTAGTACGTGTAGACACCTAAAAATGTCTCCCCAAAACCAAACCCGATGATGAACAACCTTTCACCGCCATTATTGGTCGGGTCGAGTATTTAATAATGGAAGTGCTTAAAACCCATATTTAGTCAAACATATTCAATCTACAAATCAGTCCAAACATTTATTCAAACTCAGTCCAATCCATATTTCAACCCAAACCATTTTAATTCATTTCGTTTTATTTATTAATTAATCCCGATTAGTAAATAATAAAACCCTAAGCCTGAAATAAGTCCGGAATAGCAGAAATGGCGCCTAATTATCACGTGCTTAATGCTTGAAAAAGATAAAAATGAATTTAGACCGAATTCATGAAAACAGATTTGCCGCGCCACAGAAAAAATGGCGCGTCACGGCAAACTGTACCGGCAATTTGCATCGTGACACAGAAATTTTTAGGTTTAATTTCTTCGTCGCGCTTCAATTCTAGGGTTCCGTGCTTCACCCCTCATATTTTCTCTATAAATACGAAGTTGATTTCACCAGTTTCGAGGACCAAATCATTCTCTCTCTCTTATACTTTAGCCTAAATACTAGCCTACCCTATTCTTCCACCATACATCCTTTAAGCACTCCCTGGAATCCGTACTTTACCCGCAGCTCTACGCTTAAACCAAGGCGTGAAAGGTAGAACTATTTGAGGGTTTAGCCCCAAATCAACTTTACTTTCATTTGAATTAATTTCTATTTTATTATTTATTTTATTTAAAGTTATTAACAATTTATTCATAATGTAGCAATGCAAAGAAATGTGGAACGTGAGTAATTAATTCACTTAATTACTCTTTTTATTATTCTTGTTGCTAGTATCATGATTAGGTTTATTATTATTTGATTCGACTAACGTCATTATGGTTAAATTGCTTCCAATGTTGATGTTTATTCTATTGTTGTATTGATCACCATATTGCATGTTTAAAGGGAATATGTAATTGAATGTAACGCTTAATAGGATATTTTGGACAACCGGTTTAGGTTCCTTTTTAATTTTGTTGTTTAATCAAGTGATCACAATATTTTAGAATTATGTGTTGCATTAATATTCAACCAGTTTAGCCTAATTTAGTTTGGAGCAAATTAAATTTTTGTTTGTGTGCCTTTGAGATCGCAGGAATTACTTTTCACAAAAAAGAATCGAGTAGAGGCCAATACGGGCGAATGTGACTCCATGACTCACTTCGTACCATCATCCCCGATCCTCCTTTCGTGGTTTCGAACCATATGGGTTAGTAATCTCATGGATTATGAATGGGGTGTAACCTTCACGGGTCAATCGTTGTTGCCTTTCGTTGTCCCTTTATCGTGGTTACCTTAAATGATCCGTGAACGGTTTACAAGTTCCTTAAAAACTTGTTGGCGACTCCCTACTTTGCTTTGTCCCTAATCGTGTCCCTAATCGTATGTCAATTCCCATTTCCTATGAGTGCCAAGCATATTCACAACATGCTAATCTTGGCGCGCTTCGAAGGATGCCTACAGTATGGAGTAAAAATTATACAAAGTTGATATATTTAAAATTCATATCAATATAAATCAAATAAGATCAAACTTGATAATGTTTTTGCTTATATATACATGTATAATTACATGGGTAGGACTTTGGAAAACGGAGGCAATATGTCATATAAACAGGTTTGATCTAACTTAGATTGTAGTAAAAACCAACTAAAATGTTAAATTTTTATAATAAATGTATAATTAACGAATTTAATTAGCTGAAACTTTTGATATCTATAAAAGGTTAATACAAGTTTAATAAGAGATTAGAGGATGAAAAGCTGTATAAAAAAAATTATCATAAAGATCGCAGTAGAATAGCATTGATGGATGTGAGAAAGATATATAGTGTGAGGCCCTGTGCAAAGGGTCTCTTTGCACACCCTTTTAGACAACCATGTCCATTTCACTAATTTTGCAACACTTATCATTTTACATTCATCAATACATTATTTCAATCACTAATATCTTTAAGTATCAATGTGTAAAAATATATTAATTTGATATTATGCAAAGTATAAGTTAAGGCGATCTAATCAGCCCCACAGGACTATATTTTTCCTTAACCATGGTCATAAAAAGTTAGTCAAAGTAAAGTATATATGTGAATAGTTTATAAGTGATAGTGTTGCAATTTTAGTGAAAATAAGGGTTGATAAAGTTTTAAGTTTATATAAGTTGAAATAAGAAAGTTAGGGTTTATAAAATAATATACGAGTAAGTAAAATAAAATTCATACGGAAACACTACTCTGTAGTAAAGCACAACATCGAGAATTACAAATACAAATCGCAAAACATTGAGAGTTGCACATACAACATACAAGCTAAGTAAAAGAAAATAAGGGTTGATAAAGTTTTAAGTTTATATAAGTTGAAATAAGAAAGTTAAGGTTTATAAAATAATATACGAGTACGTAAAATAAAATTCATACGGAAACACTACTCTGTAAGTAAAGCACAACATCGAGAATTACAAATACAAATCGCAAAACATTGAGAGTTGTACATTCAACATACAAGCTAAGTAATCATTTATTCCTTTTAAGGCTTTAAAAAAATTAATTTGAAGCAAATGACAAGTGATGACACTAGTAGCATATTACCCAAATAAAAACACCATGAAACTTCTCGAATGACCCATTTTAGAAGCGTGTAGAACTTAACCCAAATTTGTAGGTGCTAATTCTTTCTTTCGGTGTTGCATACACAAAAACACTCCCTTTTTCATTGTTTTTTCCGTGAAACAAAAAAAAAAAAAAAAAAAAAAAAAAAAAAAAAAAAAACAAACAAAAAGAAAACCTCTGCTGGACTCATTCTTCAACCAAATATAAACCTCACGCTTTACACTTTCTCTCTCCTCATCGGAAAACCACTCACTCTCTTTCTCTCTCCTCCGGCACCCGCCAAACGACGTCGTCGCCCGGCGTGGTTCCGTCATCGGAGCTCCGTTTTCCGGCAACTCATATGGCCATTTCACCTTCATGGGCTGCTCAATGGGGCGTTCGTCCCGTACTTATGTCAGGACATTCAATGGAAAGTAAATTCGCAACATTTTCAACTTGGTAAGCACTTTAATATTATCAATTTCTTATTTCGGCTTATTTCGCTTCATTATGGTCTTGTTGTATTCGTTTTCTAATTAGGAAAGACAATTGTTATAACTCTATTTTGCTTTATTTTAATCTTGCTACGTTGATATGATACTGTTTTAATGCGATGTTATATTTGTTTTCTAATTAAAAGAGGCAATTGTTATAATTCTATTTCGCTTCATTATAATCTTATGAGTTATGATGTTGATATGCTACTGTTTTAATGTGAGTTTGTATTATTTGTATATGTTTGTATTATTTATTGTTAAAACTTGAAGTTTATCTGTTGGCCTAGGAGGCTAGGCATTTAAAGTTTCATACTCCGTATTATGTAGCTGAATTGAACATATACTTCGTAGATGAATTAGTTATAACTTATACATTTCAAGTATCGGTGTCGGATCTTCGATACTTGTACATGGATAGGACATTTCGACACTTCATTTTGAGCCAATATTGCGGAATTTTTTCACGTAATGGCTAAGTCGGACATGTGGACACGTATCAGATACCCGAGTCTAAGTAACATAGATTATTCATGATGATTTGAAGGATTTCCATGTCTAAAAATGTTGCCAAATTAATTTCAATGGGCCTGGGACCTATTTTTCATTTAAAAGTCTTAAGAATGAGGATTAGAATGAGTGCTCCAATGGCGTTGATAGACAAAAGGAGAAGGATGTGGAGGCCGACGTGTGTGTTTGATAGAAAAAAGGAAGAGGATAGGGAGGCCTACGCTGGAGAAAAAAAACTATTGGTAGAAGTAAGAAATTCATTTCTTTTTTTAGGGGGAGGGGTATTGCAATGAATTCACCACCACCACCTATCACCTTGACGTACCACAGGAGACAAAAGCTGCAGAACAGAGAGCACAACAACAACATCAACCCCTCCCCGCTACGAGGCCAAGCAACGGTCCCTTGAGGCAGCAAACAGAAGCAGCAGGACAGAAGACAGCCTTGGCTTATTAGCTTTCACTGTGGTAAATTAGGAAGAGGACAAATGGTAGTAAAAAAAGTAACAATTAAGGCTTCTTGCCAACTGTGTAGTGTAGTAGTGGTATAAATAGAGAATGCTTAGAGGAGAGTGTTTTTCATCCAGAAATTACTTGTATTGAGAACTTGGAGAGTGATGGCCTAAAGCCATTAACGTTGTACGCAAGCTTTCAGCTTTTATCCATTAATCAAAACGTCCTACTTCCATCAATTTGTGAGTGAGCACGCTAGTCCGTTGCAGTACTTTGGTGGTTGTGGTGGTTTGAAACAAAGTTGATTGGAGGGAGTTAAGATTGATATGAAGAAACTCAATTTATAGGAGCAGGCATATAGCTCGAGTGTAGTAATGTAGTCAGCGGTGAATAGAGGGAGAGTATCTTCGTTGGCGACCAGTAGGGATAGTTGGGAGTTGGGACTTGGGAGCCATAATTAGATTTATTTGGTTATGTATGATACCAAAGTTACTTCACATTAGGGATGCACAATGCACCTTTACATGTGTGTGTTATCCTCAATTTCTCATTAAAAATTATATGACCTGATCCTATAATTTTGTACTTGAAAGTGATATATTGGCTGCCTTATTGTTGTCTTTGCAGTGGACCTTGCAAGACAAGAGCGATTCAATCTCTGAGTTCCAGCATTTTTTCCCCTGAACCGGTGCATTTATTATTTAACGTGAATTCAGCTCGAAGTCCATGCCATAAAAGGGGTTTCCGTTTCATTGTTAGGGCCGAGTCTGTGAGTATCTCATTCCAAATTCTGTATTTCATGTCTACTTTGCTATTATGTTTCTGTTCATTTTATTTTTATGAATTTGTGTACTCATACACGTGTATATACAGGACTACTACTCAATCCTAGGAGTCTCACGAAATGCCAGCAAATCAGAAATAAAAAGTGGTGAGTTACTGTTTTGCTTCATGACTCTTTATCATCAATGATGTTTTTAATTAAAGAGATTCTTAATTTACTATGATGCTCATAATAAGGTAAGAATATTTTTATTCATCAAAATTTATTCTCTTGACCATGAGCTGAGCTACAATAAGCTTACATAGGAGAGACTAATTTGGTTTTACTTTAATTTAGAATATGCAATAGAATTTTATATGAATGGATAGGGGCTGTTTTGCAAATTTCATGAGAATATTGAGATTTAAATTGATAACAAGGCAATTGAAGGAATGACATACAGAGTACCTACACCAAAGGGGTATCATATCAGAAATTCTTGTACATATAGATTCATTCTTATAATAAGCCTAAGTAGGAGAGACTAATTTTGGTTTTACGAAAATTTAGAATGTGCCATAGAGTTTTATATGAATGGATAGGGGCTGTTTTTCAAATTTCATGAGTATATTGAGATTTAAATTGAGAGAGAGAGAGAGAGAAGAGGGGGGGGGGGGGAGAGAGAGAGAGACTTTATTACCTTTGAAATTCACTTTTTTTTTTCTTTTTAAACGCAACACCATAATGCCAATAGAACTTCAAACCTTATACTCTCAAAAATTCAAAACTTCAAACCTTATACTCTCAAAAATTCAATTATCTGGAATGAGTTATTCCTGGGTAAGGATGTTGTTTCTTTCAAATACAAAGATCATCTAACATTCTTTGGAGGGAGTGAAGGACCTTTGTTCTTTTTAGGTTGACTAATTAAAATTATTTGGAAAAATAAGCTGAGATAAGGGTCATTATGCTCAGTTTAGGATTTTTCAGGTTAAAATATGAAAGCTGAAGTCTGTGATAAATACAGGATTTCCCCTATCCACTTGACACTAGCTTTTGGGATGCACCCGATCATTTTAGTTTTACCGACTTTGTTTTTTATTATTACGATGACTTTGACTACTATCTAGTCTTATAAATAATCTGTTATCTTCAAACATTCTTTGGTTGCAAGTCTGACTTGAACTTTTCATTTCACAAGACAGCAAATAGGATTTTAATGGTCGTTTATTTTATATGAAAATTAATATTTCTAGTAAGCTGCTTTTCCTACGTCATTCCATTGCCAAGGAAGTACAAAGCGTAGTTTGTTTGACCGTGTGAAGTCCCTCGTTGATGTGTGTGGTGGTGGTGGTAGGGGGGGGGGGGGGGGGCGGTGGCTAGTTAAGCAGCTTTCTCCTTTTTGTAGAACTCCCTTCCTGTGATTTTGTCAACCAATACCTAAAGTTCTTCTCTTTGTATGCTTTAGACAAGCACTTCATTGTATTTGGCATTGGTGTAAAAAATTATTGTAAAAATTTAAAAGCAAAAAATTTATTTGAAAGCAAAAAATTATTGTAAGTAGATGAAAGGTTAAATGAAGGGTAGAATGCCAAAGAGCTATGTTATATTTTATTTTGCTTTTGCAAGTAGTCAGAATGGAATGTCAGCTTCAGTTCTCAAGAATAAAGTCATTGCCATTGATCCTTATTTGAACAACTCATGTATCCTTATGGGTTTTTCATTTCAATAGTTTAATTTTTTTTTAATGGGTTATTTCTGGGAGATAAAACTATATTGAAAAGCTTTATAATCCAAGTTTTGTTTTGTGATCCTGATCTGCTATAATGTTCATACCTCATGCTTATATATTTAATTTTTTCCTTCGACGGTTACAATTATAATTAACTAATTTTGTTTTGTGTTCAGCTTATCGCAAGCTTGCAAGGAGTTTCCATCCTGATGTTAACAAGTGAGTTTATTCTTCCCATATTTTTTTTTCCTACACATGCTCTCCATCTCACTATGATTGCAGGTGATATAATATTCTTATGTTTGAGTAGTTATTTAGTATTTAGGTTTCTCTGTAACTCTATTGCTATTTATGGTTCAGTGTGTGTCCTGTTGCAATTTTTTTTTTTTTTTTTTTTTTTTTTTTTTTTTTTTTTTTTTTATAGTTTTGTGCCTTGAATGTTAATTTGCTATTGCTTTATATTCATCACATTTCACATTGCATCATTAAGGGTAATTGAGAGATAGAGTTTAACCTGTGCCCGTAAAAGTTGTTTGAATGATTTTGGTGGAAGTAAATCGGCTTTCTCTTTGATACTTGTATTTCACAAGAAGCATCTTTGCTGATTGTAATTCTTGCCTTGCTACTTCAGAGTTCCCTCACGAGCACTTAGTTGTTTAGTCCCTTTAAGCATAGGTGAATTTTGTTGTAATTTCCTGCCTGTTCTGTTTGAATCCCAAAGGCTTTCATTAATTTACTTTAGCCAGTCTTCTAAAGTTTTGTTGAGAAACTGTGATTTTACAGCATCCCACACCTTTGTTGTAGGCGTAGACAAACTGTCCTTTGAATTGGTCCATGTTGTTCCTTCTGGATTCTAATCAGTGTTACTTTTGATTAAATATCCTTTTTAAAAGAAAGTAAAATATCGAAACAGGCAGCTACAATAGAATGTCAATATGAAGCAGGGAATGGGCTTAGATATAATGCCAGCGAGGATTACTGCCTACTAGACAAACAAAGTGGATGAAGTACGTTGAAGTAATTGCCACCTTTTTTTTTTTTTTTTTTTTTTTTTTTTTATTTCCCCTGAATTATTTACCTGCCATTTGGCTATTCATCAAGGAGTGTAGGATCAGGTAAGCTTGAAGGCTTTACACTATATATATGATAGGATAGCGATGTCTAGCAGACAAAGCCAATTCAGTGCAAATGAAGAATTGTACTCGCTGAAATTGCGAGATAGAACAAATAAGGACTTGAAGCATCCTTGAGTGCCTTAAGACTTAGTGATCACTAAATTGTCGTCTACTTGCTACTCAATCTAAACCTAACTTGATGAAGCACAGCCTATCAACACATCACATGTGGCTGTCCTACATTGATAAATGAAGAGAGAGTTCACACTTTATAAGGCTAAAGGGGTACTCCTCCTATTGCCATATGATTTTGGAGTGAAACTTTTTACTTGTGAAGTTTGTTTCTCTCTCTCTTGTAATGATGGGTGTAGCCCAAGCCCATATATAACATGATATAGGGCCATGCACATGATTAGGACCTTTAATGGATACTCCTCCAATTGCCATATGGTTTTGACTATGTGAGTGTTTTTTTTATATATTTTTGAGGTTGGGTTATAACTACCAAACAAATATAAAAAAACAAGTCTAAAGAATTGAATAACGCTTAACAATATGATACAGATACTAGAAAAAAAAGAGATCAAGGTATAAGTGAGGTAACCAAACAGTATGCAACCACTGAATTGATCAAGGAGAAACCAATTAAAAAGGTGAATTTAATCCCAATATCATATGGCAATGGGTTTTCTTGATAAAGATCAAGATTAGGCTAGGGCGGCCACAAGGTGTTTCCATGGCCCCATTCTTATGCAGTCTGGAGCAGGTATCTCACCCTGATTAATTCCACTTCACTTTCTTCTCAATGGCTCCGAGCTTGGGTCTTCATTCTAGTTCCACAATGCGATATGTTTTATGGGACATCGTATAATAACGACTCACACAATATGCATAAGAAGGCATGCAAGATAGGTAGGGGATCAGGGGTATAAATTGTCCAAACTCATGCAAAACACAGAACTTCGATAGGTGAGAGGTGTAAGCACCGTGAGGTGTGAAGCGATCTCGTACTAAACGAAACTACTTTCACTTTCCATAACCAAAATGAAAGAGAGTCAACGATCCGCTCAACAAGGGCTTATAAAATAACCTAACTGAGGAATTCACATAAAAACACATTATATGGGGCACAAACTCACGAGAAGAGGCCAAATCAAGGGTATTAAAGCCCACTTATCAGGTAGTTAGCACATTGAAGCTGATTGACAGCTAATTTAAGAACAAAAGTCTGATTGTCTGAATGCTTTTGGCATTTGGGCTTTAATCAAGTAGTGCAGTACCATGTGGGTTTGAAGGTGCTGTACAAGGTCTGTGATGGGACACTGATGTCTCAATAAGGCCAACTCAACACAACTGAGGAATGGTACTGGGATTGGAAGTTTGAAACTAGTTTGAACTTTCAAGCATCCTTTATTGTCTTTCTAAACGATTTGGGATCATCTGTGAGAAGCATAAATTATGTTTTGTGGTCATCCAACACCTAATGACTATGTGACCTCATTGAGACTCAGGAGTGGCACCCTTAGCTATACCTGCTACTGATGTATGTCCCAATATACACGACAAAATCACAACTTAATCCTGTTGATGCTGACATACCTCACTGATCTTGTGTTCCTTTTTTTTTTTTTAAAGCTCTGATAATGCTGATGTTACTTGCTACTGATTTTTTTGTCCTCGGTCCTCCCTCTATATATGGAAGTTATAGACTCTTCCAGAAGTTGCATACTGATTTTCATAAATACTTCCTTCTCTTACCAAGGATGTTAATCATACCCTGATTTGTGGTTCATGCCATTGTCATGTTCAGCTGTTTGTTGATCTTAATAAACTGATTGGTCTCAAAAAATTAGTTTTCTTGAACATTCATTTCAGATGTTCCTTTCTTGTAAGTTTATCTTGTGTAGTTGTGTGCCTTTGAGTTGTGAACAAGTTTGATTTTCTGTTTTTGCTTTATGTAGGGAACCTGGAGCAGAGCAGAAATTCAAAGATATCAGCAATGCTTATGAGGTATGTATGACAACTATTGCATTAATTTACTTTACCACCCTTCATTTGTCATGCTATCTAGTTGTTGCATATTTTCTTTTAGCCACTTTTATATTAAGAGATTTACTGATCTGTAATAGACTGGTGTTCTAGCTTAGTATTTCTGATTTAACAAAACAAATGAATAAAGATGAAGGCTTGTAATTTTGATTGATAATGGCAGAATATGATAGCTTTAGGCTATTACTCTCCTTGATAACTTTAGGTTATCACTCTCCTAGTAACTTGAGGTTACCGTTCTCTGTCATTTTCTCAATACAAATCTCATGCCTTCTATTGCTATACTACTACCCTTATATAACCAAGCAAAACTACAAATTAACGATCAGAATTCAGTCCTATGTTGCCATACTCCCTAGTGCTTCTTAATTAACTTTGTCTCCTAGTGTTGCTCCTTGTACCGGGTTCATTACATGATCTCAAAAGGCACAGCCCCTGTGAAGGGCATCCCAGCATTTACCTAGAAGGAAAAAGCCATATGATACCCACCCGTTAGGCTGGGGGGAATGAGAGTTATACAATCAACCTCACGGCTGGAAGATGTGAGCTCAATTATGATGCTCGTCTTTGAACCACTTTGACTGTTACAATCTCCCAATCCAAATTTTAAGCTGACTATTAACCAAATGTATAGGTCTTGTCAGATGATGAGAAACGGTCTATATATGACAGATATGGGGAGGCTGGCCTTAAAGGAGCCGCAAGTGGTGGTCCAGGGGTAAGTGATATTTTTAAACACTTCATTGATTTAGTTTTGTGGCTGTAGTTGTTCTGAAAATTTTACTATTTCCGACAGGATTTCACCAACCCCTTCGACCTATTCGAGTCTATATTTGACCTAGGTGGTATGGGAATGGGGGGAATGGGAGGAAGAGGCAATAGAAACCGGGCCACCGAAGGCGAAGACCAGGTTTACAATCTGGTGCTGAATTTCAAAGAAGCCATCTTTGGCATTGAGAAGGATATTGACATAAATCGTCTGGAGACCTGTGGTACTTGCAATGGATCAGGTGCCAAACCTGGTACCCAGCCAACCAAATGCAGCACATGTGGTGGCCAAGGGCAGGTCATATCTGCAGCACGTACTCCCCTTGGGGTGTTCCAACAAGTGTCCACTTGCTCGGCCTGTGGTGGGACTGGGGAAATTTCAACTCCTTGTAATACCTGCAATGGTGATGGACGGGTGAGAAAATCTAAGCGCATCAGCCTGAAGGTTCCTGCTGGTGTTGATGCAGGCAGTAGACTGAGAGTTCGTGGAGAAGGTAATGCTGGAAGGAGAGGTGGGCCTCCTGGAGACCTCTTTGTGGCTATTGATGTCATCCCTGATCCTGTGTTGAAACGGGACGATACAAATATTCTCTACTCCTGCAAGGTTTCTTACATCGATGCCATCCTTGGGACAGCACTGAAGGTCCCAACTGTGGACGGGACAGTAGATCTGAAAATACCGCCTGGCACACAGCCTGGGACTACATTGGTAATGTCTAAAAAAGGTGTGCCAGTGTTGAACAAACCCAACATTAGAGGAGATCAGTTGGTCAGAGTGCAAGTTGAAATTCCAAAGCGTCTTAGCGATGATGAAAGGAAGCTTGTTGAGGAACTTGCTAATCTAAATAAAGGTAAGGCTCCCAGCACAGCCAACAGTAGAAGATAGCTGAAATGATAAAAGCTAGGAAAGTTATTCTTGTGTTGATGGTGTTTTTGCTCGACTTCCCCCTCTTTGATTGATCTCATGTTGCAAGTACAAGCCCAGAAATTTATCCCCTTGCCCTATGTTCTAGCTGAAATAGTAAGAATGGGGATATATCCCAAGGCAGATATAATTGTATGACATGTATGTATGGTACAAACTTTTAGCGGAGGAAACAACTTAGGTAATATACCTCATTTTCTTTATCTTAAGCCACAGCTTTTTGTTTCCAGTTTTTCTGAGCTTGCTGGGAATATTGTAAATCATTGGTGCAATTAGCGATAATCACTGGTGTAATGCTCTTATGAGCAAATAACAGCTGCAAATATTAGCAATTTATACCTTATTCTGGGAGTGATGAACATGCTCTCATGCCTTTCATTTCATCCTTACAAAAATTTATTAGCAATTCATCATTGTCATGAACTTCCAAGTACTGATATATGCAGCCCTTTCGGGACATAGTCAGATACAGTAACATGCTATGGGGATTTGAGTACCATTGCTAAGAGTTTGCTGTGCTAATCTAACTAGAACAATATCACAACCCCTTTTTACCATCAGTAAAATTAAATGTTTAGAAAAATATAATTGGAAAGCTGCTGCAAAAAGTAGAGAAACAGAGAAGGAAAAAGGGAGGTATTTTAGAATACCTCTTCTTTGGTTTTAAACCACTGCTTTTTAGAGAAGAGAGAAAGAGAGGTGGTACCAATGCTTGATCCCTGGACCTAGACTTCAGAGCTTTCATTCTCTTACCACTAGTCCACGAGGGAAGCTGGTACTAGCTGTTTTTACAGATTTTAAGTTATTCGAAGTTTCAGTTTAAGTTTCGTACGGCTAACATACACTGAGGTTTTTTTTTTTTTTTTTTTTTTAATTTTTTTTTTATTATTTTTTTTTATCAATTATAACAATGAATTTAATTAAATTATTCAAAAAAAAAAAAGAATTTAATTAAAAACCAAAAAAAAAAAAGACCTACCCTTTTGCTTGAAGTCGTGAATAGAAATAATAATAATAAAAAATTTTAAAAAAGAAAAAAACATTGATAAGGTATTTCTTTAGTAAGGAGAGGATCTTAACTATTCTGTATCAAGGTTTTTTGGTCCAGTATGTGCAAGTAAAAAAAAAAGTATTTTTTACCTCCAACACCTTTACTTGGCAAAATTCGAACCCTAATCCCAATACTCTAATTTGGCAAAATTCGAACCCTAATCCCAATACCCTAACTTGGCAAAATTCAAACCTCAAATCTCTAGGATTTGAGCTAAGAGCCTAAGAACATTACTAAGTGAGTTAAGCCTTAGATGACTTTTATACAAGGCGATTGGAGGAGCTTATTAACCCATAATAAATTTTATTTTACGTATAAAGAGAGAGGGAATAGAATTGATCTCATATTTGAATATCACCTGACATAGAAAATTATCAATAACATAATTTTATCAAATGTCTTTAAATAAAGGCATAAAGCTAATCTATCAAATGACTCATTAAATAGTTCAATTCAAGTGAATTATTGATAGCTAATAAGATCATAATTTATCAATTAGACCCTACCCTTTTTTATTTTTTCTAAGACCTGATTGAAGAGGTAATTTGTACAGGTAGGTCACCTTTACGTGCCGCAAGAAATATGGTCATGCATTAAACAGTCTCATTAATAATCCTTAATGAGCGCATTAAATATGAACTCTCTTTGTTCATTTCGGTCCGACACATGCCACATGCAACTGAATCTATTCGATTTTTAAACTCCGTTATTTTGTGAAATGGAATGAAAGGAGATCTAATTGACTTGTTTAGTTGTTTAGAATAGTGCCCTGATTGGCTAAGAAATTTTTTGTTGGTATGATTTCAATTTAAAATCACTAATTTATTAACAATTGATAAACATATATACGTTATTTAAAGTCATACACCATCTACAAAATAAATCGGATACAACAAAAGCATAACATATTGAATTAAATAAAGGTTAAGTATTCCAATCCTTCTTCAAACTAGGATTGTTCTGTGGAATATCTTACACGTACACATATATATTGTCATCATCTGATTCAAGAAATTGAAGTTGAATTATCAATATAATTATTTATGATCTTGAATAACTTTTTTAATGAACCTAATTGACGATATTCCACCAAACCTATACTAAACTAAACACACTATACTAAGCTAATCCCAAAATTGGGACACTAGCTAACTGCACTTACACAATACAATTTATTGAAAAAATAAAAACATGAATACTTTTTTCAAAAAAAAAATAAAAATAAAAAACACCCAAATTCTAAAGAAGCTAGACAGTTTTGACATAAGAAATCTGAAGTTTTTAAAATCTTAGAGAGAAAATGACGAAGGCGGGTTAGTTAAGCCTTTTTTTGTTGTAACAGAATGAACTTTAATCATCCTTAATCACCTCTTAAATAATAAATATAAAGTTATGAAAGTGTCCTAATTCAATTCAATATTCTGAAAAAATTGCGCGGAGTACATTTCTATTATACTTAAATAAAGTCATGAAAATGAAGTAAAACTAATTTGATACGTGATAACTTAAGTGAGTAAAACGCCAATCCGATCCATCGATATTCATACTCAATTGCAAGATTTAACCTTATATGTTATCATAGATATTCAATTCGTCATCCCCTAACTCCTATTCAAATCTAAAAATATACTAAGACCAACCAATAAAACTTATGGATTCAGACTGGTACACTACACAAACCACGTACAATAATGTCGGCACAAAATAATACATATTAAATCTGAATGCATGGCAATATGGCATGGGTGTGAACGTGTGTTACTGTGAATCTGTGATCTACTCATTTATATAATCTCCATGTTTTTGTTAGTTTGAATAGATTTAATAATTTCCATATTTAATGTTGTATTTTTAAGTGTTTGTATAATTGGGTTGGATGTAGTGTAAAGAATTATTGGTAAATTAACTTAAAGTGATAGAGATTCTTCCGCATTTGCATGCCACACGTGCAACTACCAAGATAAGTGCAAGCTTCGTGGATTGCACGTACTGTACTCTTTTTCTTGTTCCCAATTTTCTCTCTTACAATCTCAAGGTACCACTAGGTTTTGTACATGTCTCAAGTCTTAAGGAATAAGAATCAAAAATTTTAATCGAGTGGTTTAAATACTACTCCGTAATGAACATTAAAGTAGTGATTTGAATCCACAACTAAATCAAACTTTCATTATTATTGACCTTTAATTAAGAAAAAGGGAGATAATTCGCTAAACAATATATAAAAAAAAAATATATAAAAAAAAATAAAAAAAAAAAATAGGTAGGGTGATCTTGCCAATTGTGTATATGATAGATGCTATCAAGTTTGATAGGGTGATCTTGCCTATTGCTAGATATTCATGGCCTCACTATCTACTACTTGTTGGAAGAGGGACAATTTGATAAGCTAGGTAAGGAGGTCCTTCGCTTACTTAGCTTATGCGAATGTCAACAAATTTAGTTGGTAAAAGTTTTTGAAGGTCGTACATAATCAATCTACGAAATTAAATCACATCAAATACAACTCATCAAGATGAAAAGACACAAAAAGTACTTATACATATGGCTCATTAAGGAGATCTAGAGGAAACACACTCTTATTTTAATAATGTCAAAAACAGTGACCCAAATCTTTATGGTTTTTCTGCTTTCCCTTCATATCATAATTAAAATTCTACCTATTTTTTAATGCTTTCTCTTGATCAACTCCCATCTCACTAAAATTGTCTTATCAACCCATTAAACTCTCATAAAAAATGGTTAAATAATAGGACAATTTAGTATGTGAGACAAATCAGATGGACTATTTATTAATTAGAAGGCTTTTTTTTCCCCTTTGCCTCACTTGTTGAGCCAAATAAATCACACTATCTTGTGGTCTTAGTGTCTTACCGCCATATTCTATCTACTCTTTTTATAAACAAAAATCAACCACTAACATAAAGATAGTATCATCATCGAAATAAATTGATTATGTACCAAATTAGTCATTTTCAATACATATAACAAGTATTATAGTACTTCATATATTATAAACTTTTCATAAATCAACTTTTAGACATCAAATCATGAGGTTGAGCTAGCTTTGAAAGGTTAGTCACTACAACATTAAACCGTTGAACTAACATGTCATTAGTTAAGTTAGTAGATGATTAGTAAGGGTGAACCACTTTGTTTCCTTGATGTGGGGACATTTTGATAACTCCTCTCAACTTCTACATAAGGAAGATGCTTTATTTTACATACCCATTTTAATTATTTCCACCTGCCTATTCCAAATTAATTCCCCATGTTTGAAGGGCAAGTTTATTATTTTAATTGACCAACTACCAAAATGCTTTTATATAAATATGCTCTATCTTCCCTCTTTTTAAGGTCTTTTTATTTCTTCTCTTCTATGGAGGTACCTCTTCTCATCCCAAGCTTTCTCATATTAATTTTTTAAAATAACAAAACCAAAAATTATCTATTTATTTCATCGATCTTCTAAGAATTTTTCCATAAAACTTATTGCATAATATAGTACGTAGACATACTGGCGTATGTACTAAAATGATTTCATATAATTTGTTATTTCCGTTCTGCTAATTTTTGTGGTCATAAACTTTTTACTCGTATTTTTTAAATGGGTAGTATTAACTTTCATTATTTGTATTTTTGGGTGCAGAATAGGGAAAGGGGAATAGGGTGGCCATTAGGGCTAGGGAGCATGTACATGAGGCTGAGACTGGTGGAGGGTTTACCAGTTTCAACAACAGATCGTGCAAGATCGTCTTTTTGTTTTCCTTCAAGCAGTTTTTCTTCCTTCTCTTCTTCCAATCTTGATACCGAGGTACTTCCTTCTTTTACTTACTGGTTTCATGGATTGGGAAGAGGGTGGACTATGAAAAACTTAAAATTTTTAGACCAAAAATGAAAGTTAGATTTTCAGATTGTAGTAAAAGAAATATAAAATATTCACATTTTTTTATACACTATGTATGTAGATCTAAGTTTGTAGTGGTTCAATGATTTGAGAAGTGAATGAATCAAGTTACTTCGGATTAAAGTTCTAATTTTGTCACTGTACTGGTTTCTCATCTTCACTAGCTACCATAAGAAAAGAAAAATAATTAGGGGTTCGCAAAATATTTTGTATAATTTAAAACGTTATACAATGTTTTCATTTTTGTAAAAAAAATTTTATGCTTTGCATATTTTTCATATACGCTTGAGTCAAACTACATACGTACTACATTTCTTCATGCTTAAGGATAGGTGAAAGAGCGGCACATTTTCTAAAAAAAGTACTATATATGAAGACTTAAAAGAGTCATAAAGGGCATCAATTAGTGACATGATGATATTTTATTTAAGGATGTCAAAAGGGCGGGGCGAGGCGAGGCGAGGCGGGTGTTGGGTTTTTCATCCCCATTCCCGCCTAACATTCTCATCTCCATCCCCATCCACATCCTCATGCATCCCCATCCTCACGACAGGTTCAAAATTCATCCTCATTCGGGCCTTACAGGTACAATTCCAAAACCATCCCGGCCCCGCCCCACCCCCCACTTGGATATCCACCTAATCCCTACCCAAGACCCGTCTAATCACCGCTCCCAAATATACCAATACTACATAATATAAATTAAAATAAATAAATAAATCATTGTTAATATTACACTTAATTATCTATTTTTTACTACTATAATTTACATAATTTTTTTTTTTTTTTTATAAAATACTAGTATACAATTTTTTTTATTTTTTTAAGGAAAAAGATATATGTAGCCCGTAGGGATGCATTTAAGAAGTTAAAAGTGAAAAGAATAGACAATAAATAAACATTTATTACATTGATTTACTCGTGAATTGTCCATAAAGTCCCAACTTAATACTATAAAAGGAAGTATACTAAATGCTTATGCAACCCTAAAATATATACATATGGGTATGGGGTGGGGATGGGGCGGGTACAACCTAAAATCCACCCCCACCCCCATTACCCATAACGGATATGATTTTTTTCTCCATCCCCGCCCCACCACTCACCAAACTGGACCCATTCCCACCTCACTTGACCCGCCCCATTGACATCCTTCAATTTTTATTCACAAAATTCAACTAAATTAACTAGCATGACATAGTGACGCAATTATGTACTGGTACCACTAACCTGTGGTATCTACTTTAGAAACACCAAGAAGTTTCAATGGTTATGACTTGGAAATCTAATTAAGTAAAAATTCGAAAATTCTCAAGTGAAAGTTAAGGATTAATTCTATGTTTAGTCAACTACTCAATGAGAAAGTACTAGTACAACACCAAAGCTATTTAGTCTCTCATTAAGGGGAATTATAACAATGCAAAAAGTAGTGGACAACTATGTTATATATTGTGTTAGCTTAGAAAACCAAATTTCAATGTCAAATTTGATTATTAGTCTTTCTTGTTCAATTCTTTAATCTTGGTTCATTTTGATTGATGTGCAACCAATGCAAAGCAGTCAACAGCGTCCTTCTTCCAAGACAACACCAAGTCCTTAGGCCGTATAATCGGAATTAGACCACGCAACAGTAGATCAGAGTTATACTCATCAAGAAACACAGCCGTTGATCGATCCGAAACAACACATAGATTGTCTAACAGAAGTCCTTCAGAGCATGATGATGAATTGGATATAGAAATGTGCGATGGGATTTGCATCCCTCTATGTCTATATGCTAAGATGAGCAAGAATAAAGACGTTTCAAAGCGATGAACTAACGTTTTGGTACGAGAACGCATAAACACATACATTTTCTTTCATTTTTATAGATGAAATTTGATAAACATACCATACTACAATGTATATGCAAACAAAAGAAAAGATATGATTCTTTTCCTTCATATTATACAAATTAAATTTGTAACTAAAATTTTAACATGTACTAGTGATTTGAGATCTATTTATTTTTATACTTTTGTATGCAGAGAATAACAAAAGACATATTTTTCCCTCAAAAAAAAAAAAAAAAAAAGAAGACATATTAACATATGTACTTTTATGTTACGCTTTGATTGCATCATTTAAAATTGTATAATTTCTCTTTCAAAGATCAAAATTTTAACTGTAACTTGTCACTACTATAAAAGAAAAAAATAGTAGTGGAATCTTGTTAACATCATCTTAAATACTTTGTATATTCAATTTTATTTTTTTTTCAATGTGTAATACTATAATTGAATATATATATATATATATATATATATAGCCAAATTAGTTTATTTAAAGACTGTGAAAAACCAAATGAGTATTGATGCAACTTTTGAAAAAAAAAATGAGCTAATTGGCTATATCAAATAATACTACAAACAAATATCATGAAGATGAGTATTTACTAATTAGAGCCTTTTGGATCAAATAACGCGGTGAGAGAGATTTGGGCTTGATCATGCCAATATTGTGGTTTGGGCTTAAAATGAGGGATCAAACTCAATTTGAATTGGGATGAATAATCAATTGTAACCTAAAATGCATGAAAGTTTCAAAATGTTGAACTGAGTTTGCACATATACAAGTCATGTAAAATCATTAGTATAGATGTAGAAGGTCAGTATTTATGAAAATAAAATAAGCATTTGTTTATTCAAATTGACGACAAAAATTGGCTGAATTTAAGGACATTTTAGAAAATAACACCATAAAAAAATCCGAAATTGGATTATAACACCATAAAAAAAATAAAAAATAAAAAAACTTTTATTATAACACCACAAAAAAAACCCACAAATTTGATTTCGCCACCACTTAATAGATTCTTGGATGGAATTCGTTAGTGGGGCCCATAATTGACACATGTCAATATCCTATTGGTTTAAAAAATTAAATTAATACAAAGAAAAAGAAAAATTAAAAAGAAAAAAAAAAAAACCTCTAACCCCAAACCCAGCCCCACAACCACCACCGGTAGTCGTACACTCCACCGCCAACAACTCCCAATGCCGCCGGAACCCCTTTATCACCGTCGAAATCACCGGCCGTTAACCCCACCCACCACAGCCCCCGCAAATCCCGCCAATCGACCCAGCTCCATCACAGAGATCCGCCCCCTCTCCCTTCCCTAGGGGTGTCCACAATTCGGATTAAAACCGAAATCCAATCCAATTCAAACCGAATTATCAATTTGGATCGGAGCCAAACTTTAAATTGGATCGGATCGAATTGAGATTTTTTTGAAAATTCAGATTTTCAGATTGGATCATATTGACCCTAATTGGATCCAATCCAAACCGAAAACCGAATTGTAAAATTAAGCTTGTATAATTATGGAGTTCTTTATTTTTTGAAGTTTAGCTCAAATACTTAATACTACATAAAATAAATTAGAGAGACTTTGTATTAATTAATTAATGACTTGATGTTGAACTATTTATTTTAATCATGATTTTGAAGACTTGTATTTATATTAAAGATTTATTTTTATAATCCTATTAGGCGCTAAAAAATAATGTATTATAATTCAGATTTTCGGATCGGATCCAAATAACAGAATTTAAATTCGGATTGGATAGGGAGAGAAATTCAGATCGGATCGGATTGAAAAATTGAAAACTGAATTATATTCCGGATTGGATCGAATTTAGACTAAATCCAAACCGAAAACCGAAGGGACACCCCTACCCTTCCCCCACCACAAATCCGGCCCTTTCGACCCATTCATCCCTTACCCTCACCCCAAAACGGTCGAAATCAACCATGGAAGCCCTAGAACGGTTGATTTGCGGTTGTGTGATGAATATTGGTGGTTTGTGCGGTTGCCGCTGTGCGAATTTTGCAGTTGGTGATGTTGAGGAGTTGCGTGGTTTTCGAAGTGGCGTGGTGGTTTTCGACTGGTTTTGACGGTTTTGGTGGGGGTAGGGGATGCCGGCGACAGGGGTTAGGGTGCTGGCGACATGGGCAGGTGGCGCCGGTGGTACGGCTGACTGGGTTTGGGTTTGGGGTTAGGGTTTTTTTCTTTTTAATTTTTCTTTTTGTTTTTATTAATTTAATTTTTTTTAAAACCAATAGGAAATTGACACGTGTTAATTATAGGAAATTTAATTTTAAAATCATTTCTGTTCAGTTAAAATCAGTTGACGAAACACGAGTGATGACCCTAATATATTGGGTTGGGTTGGAATTTGGAAGAAGTGCAACTACACTCTTACCATAGCACTCTCACCCCAAAAGCCCACAAAACGAGCTTTTCACCCAAAACACCAAGCGAATGTTGAAAACCAACCAAAAACCCCAGTAGAACCCTCAATCTTCCATCAACAATGGCTTCTTTCGCTGCGGCAAGGTCTATCCTCCGCTCCTCTCCCGCCGCCCGATCCGCCGCCCCACGTTTCTCCGCCGCCGCTAAACCAAAATCCAACCCATTTTCTCCCTCCTCATTCAACCTTCCGAAGCAAAAGACTCTCTCTGCCCCTCGCATTTTCAGGTAACAATTCACTCATTTAATCTTGTTAAATTTGATCTTTTAGCATACCCAGAAAGATTTACAGCATTAATTTGATTGATTAATTGTTTTTGTAATCTGGGGTTGTTGATTTTTAAGGTCTCCTGTTGAATTGAGCTGCTGTGTTGAATCGTTGATGCCGTATCACACGGCTACTGCCTCTGCGCTGCTCAACTCCATGCTTTCTGCTGCGCCCCGAAGCGCTGGTTGGACTCCTGAGGGTATGATTTCTCTCTCCTATTATTTCATTCTTTATTTGAATTTCTTGGTAATTTGTATGACAACATTTTTGGATAAGTTTTATTGAATTTGGTGTTCCCCTTTGATTAGTTGATATTGCTATGTTTGGTTTCTGAATGTGTGTGCATAACACTTGGGGAATTAATTCTTGAATGAAGTATTGGGGAAATGCCGGAGTGTTGAGATTGACAAAATATGCTGAGGAGCTAGTAACCAAGCCTTAATTTTAGGGTTCTAGAGTAATTCATTAGGGATCTCAATTATCGAGATGTGTGGAAATGTTTCTGAAAATAGTTGAAACCAAAAGGTAGAATAACATTGCAGCATTTGATCTTGATGTAATGCTGGTATTGCTAATAGGCTAATGATGGATAAGGGTTTGGAGATATGATGCTCAACGGCTCAAGTAGTGACTAGCTTGTGTTAGCTATTGGATCACTGGATTCTTGTCAAAATGGAGTGTTGGACTGCGAGCTTTTTGTTGTGATGCTTGAGATCCAAATCTTTCATATGACTGATAGTTAGTTTTGATCACCAATGTTTCACCTATAATGATAGAAATTAGTTTTCCATATCAACTAGGTCTTGTTTGATTCAATTCATGTGGTCATACTTTAGTGTATGTTTTGTGTTGTTAAAATTTTTACTTATGTAGGTCACCTTCACTCTACCATCTTTCTCTAAAGGAACCATACCCTCTTTGCTCTTGTAGGGAAAGACCAGACTAGATGAAGAGCAAGCTAGCACAGATGGGAAGACTCGTGGGGTTGAATTTTGTGAGTTTTGTGCTGCTTAAGTAGTGGAATGTAAAACATTGTTACAGATCAAGAAAATGAATGACTAACGTATACAATTTGATCTCAAGTGGCAATTATCATATTTCTTTGTTTGAATTGTGTTATGTAAAAGGTGTAGGTCAGGTTTTAAAAATGTTTCAATCACCTTTATCTTGACAATGGATATATCTGATTCCTTCATGTTGGAGTTTCGAATAGGTTATTAACATTACTTGCATAAGTGTAATTTGCTAACTGACTACATTTCTTTGTATAACACATTAAAATTAAAGGATAAGTGACATTTTCAGCTTGGCAATGTCATCATATTTGATCAATACTATATATTTTGACTAGAACATAACCAGATTTTGTGTTTCCAACATTATAGATCTTGTGTCTTTAGGTAGTTTTTAGCAGATCAGCATCACCCTGCTGATTCCAAACATATGAAAACTCGAACTTGTTAATTGTTAATCTTTATTGCAATATGATATAAGAGTCATACTAATACGTCATATGCATTCAGATTGCAATGATGATGTATGATGCATATCAGATGGTCGTGCAAAGTATAATGTACATGGACTTTGTGCATTGGTGATATGCTAAGGGTTTTCAAGGACATTCGGAGAAGCCAGAGCTATTTCATCTTTGTTTTCATGCTAAACTACAAACTAGATGATTCTCGATTCAAACATAAATTTTGGAATCTGTATCTCAGACTCTTTAAAATCTCTATTATAACCCCTTGTTTGTTTCACTGTCCTTTGGTTATTGTGCTAATTCTCACTGTTTTATCAATATTCACTGTTGGTGTTGTGATTTCTGTGTTGGAATAACTCTTTTCTTTTCCAGCTAGTTCTCTTGGAAATAAAATAGTAATAACTAGCTGAATAATCGTAGAAGGTGGAGATGTTACACTTTAACACAATATGGTGAAAAAGTTTCTGTCATGCAGAAGAATTCATTTGAATTGGATCTTGCGCATCAATGTATCCTTATTTCCCTCGGTGAACACATGTGACTTCTTTTGGTTCACCCATCGCTGTAGTTGATAGATATTGTCATTAATATGGAGTTTGAGGTGAGAGTGGTGACAAGTAACTGCTATTGCTTTGAGGTTATATATCTTGTTAAGGCCTTGGTCATTGAGATGGTGATTAGCCCATGGAAATCTGTTTATTACTAGTTATTCTACCCATATTATTTCTTCTGGTATTTACATCAACGGATCAACCTAGGAATGAGTCTGAGTTATTAGCTGTAGATGTGTGTTGAGCTGAATTATCTGATCTGTCGTCTGCTCATATTGCTTTTGTTTTATCCTGGCTCGTTCAAAGAAAAACTACCTCTTTCCTCGTATTTGGATAGGGCAGTGCAATTGAGCTTGCTATTTAAATTAGACAGGAATAGGGATGCCTAGCCAGGACTTTAGGAACTCTGTATCCCTATGTACAAATGCATATCTGTGAGGATATGACCAATCAGGAGAAGTTTGCATAAGTTCACTAATGGTAAAATTCTCTGGTTTGTAGCTTAGAGTTATGGTTGTGTAATATTGTGTTCTAGGTCAAGGGAATAGAAGGCAGCATGTCATTTGATACAGTCATCAAGGTTTATGTAAGATTCTTCAGTTTTAGATGAAGCACTAGGAAAATGACATGGTCTAACAGATCTGAGATGACTTTAAACACGGGAGGTAGAATGATGCTTCCCTTCCCAAAGATTGCTGCTATCTCTTGGGTTAAGAGTTTGCTGTGTAAATCTACTGCAGTATAGTGGAGGATAAGAAAATACTTGGACATAGTTATGGAAAAGTTTGTTGCAAAAGCAAATAGAGACCACAAGAGGTACAAATCTTCTTAGCTAGCATCTGTGTGTTGAGGCTTTGAAGTCATGCAAGCCTCGCTTATGTATTTCATGCATGCCTGCTAAATAGCTTTTGATGGATTTTAATATCAATCTTAAGGTCGTTCTAGGATTAGAACCTAAACTCTACTATAAGAACTAAAATTTTCATTGTCATTTTTTTGCCTTTATATGTCTGAAATTATTAGAATATATCCTATTCCCTTGAAATTTGACTTGGGCTTTCCTCTGTTTAGGGCCCTGATCACACCTCCCTTGGCTTGTTCTGGATGTTAATCTTGTCAATCTGAATGCTGGTGTAACAATATATTTGTTAAATGACTTCCATATTGTAATCCCTTTACTTTTTGGACCATGTAAGTAAGTATATTTTTTCTTTCATTGTAGATGGATGAATTTTGTGTTGGCATGGCGGTGAATTTGCCGTAATTTCTTTGGATTGTGATTTGGACTTTGTATACCAGCTACTAGAGGTATTCCCTTTCATGAAATATAAAGGTTGCTGAATTCCGAGCAGGTTAACTCCGTCTGCTTTGTTACTTCTCTAAGAACATTCTGTGTCAAATCGAATGGAAATTTTGTACAATATAATTCCTTGTTTCTGATTTGATTCAATTATGTTGATGATTGTTTCAGACTGGGGTCTGAGGCCTATTATGTTACACATTTAATTGATCACTAGAACATTAGACGACATAAAATTTTCTGGCTTGTCCAGGATTCGAGAAATGAATATGCAGGCTAACTTTGATCATGTGTGAATGTGCTCTCAAATGATCTTTGACCAGCTCTAGAAAATTGCATACATCTAGAGTATAATTTATGCCGTTGGCTTAAATTAGTCCATTGTTGTGTAAATTAGGCCATTGGCTTAAACTGTGTTAACTGATAGGGTTGTTTCCTGACTGGGGTTTTTCCGGTAAACATGATCAGTCAGCGGCTGTTAGTTTGGTCAACTACTTGCTCAGTAAGTGGCTGTTAGTTTGGTCAACTATTCGCGCTTATTGTCGATGTTTCAAAAAAACTTAGTGGCTATGAAAGTTGATAATGGATGATGCCCCTTGGCTCTAACCAGTGAAGGGTTTCACCAATAAAAAACCAGTTAAGGGTGTTCATGAGTGCAGAACCTAGAAACGCAGACTTGGCAACTGGACCAAAATATAGTGTTTGATCATGGTTTTTTGTGGTATTGGATCGGACTACAGCCTTAAAAAATAATGCTTTTCAACACCGCAAACGGACTGGATTTCTTATGGTTCAGGCCATTATCTCAATCTGGTATGATCATGGTATTTTGCGGGTTTAGATCGGTTTAAAACCTAAAATACAACATATTTCAACCATCACAACTAGACTAGATTTCTTATGGTTCAGGGCTTCAGGCCAATCTCTCAGTCTAGAGTCAAAACTGGCTAGAACAAAATCATTAGAGTACAAAAGAGAATGCCAAAAAAAAAAGCACGACCTTCGTACAAAGCAGAGTTCATAAGAACCACAAACCTAGACAACGGTGAAACCAGGTAATAGGTTGATCTTGGTCCAAATGCTTATGAAGAGTGACAAGGTAAGCAAAATATGATGGAAATAATATCAGACGTAGTAGTAGTATAAGTACGGAGTATAATAGATATGGAATTAGGGTGGCAATTATAAAACTTGAAAGCATAAACGTAGAGTGAATGACCTTATCCTATGTTATTTACTGAGTAGAACATATAAAATATATAAAATTAAATTAAAAAAAAACCCGAAGTTTTACTATCGCTCCTTTTTAATTAACTAAGGCAGCTAAAGTGCGCGTTGCGCGCAGGGTGGCCAGCCCTTTCAACTTAGTTTTTCTTGGCTTGTATTTGCATTTGACATGAAGTTAATGGACTGATAAAGAAATATCTCTCTATTGCTTAGCCTTAATTTTTCTTGGCTTGTGTTTGCACATCACATGGAGTTAATCGTCCGTTGTCGAGGGCTCTTATTCGTCCGTTGCCAAGGGCTCTTGTTTTTGACGTTGTAGGATATTCTGGAAAATTTGAAACAACAGGTTGCACCCTTATTTAAGTAGTGAAAAAAACAACGTGCTAACACTTTGTATAGGAATTTATGATACTAATATATCTTTTGCGCTCATTGACCTAATTGGAAATAACAAGGTACATCATATAGCAGTATAGGGTACATCACAATACATAGTAGTGGCATTAATATATAATACTATTCAGATACACATGATTTCACAATGCTCAAAAGTTAACAGACAATCAGAAAATGAACTCGGACAAAATGCTTCTAACAATTTGGTTTTGCAGTAAAATAAGCTCTATGTAGCCCCATAATTCCCTTGATAATTCCCTTGATAATTCCCTTGAATCCCTTTTTGCTTTCTTCCCCTTTTCACCTTAGTCAATTAGGTTTCCTTTCTTCCTAGTACATCTTCGGCACAATTATAGATTAATTTCATTAGTTTCAATGTTTTTTAAACACAATTATGTGTAAGTCATTAATTTTGACCTTCACAAAATGAAGAAAAAAAAAAAACTCCCACATAAAGCAACAACCTTTCATTGTCTAGTGACTAATGTTGTCATGTAATTAAACCATAACCCCCATTAAATTAAATATAGAAAAATTTTAAACTTTATTATTCCATTCTCCATTTAATTTCTAATTAATTGATGGGTCTTAAGAAAAATTACAAAATTAAACATGGGGGTAAGAAGGTAAACAAACATTTTAAGGGGTATAATGATCCATGCACTATTCATAAGAACAATCTCCTACTTTTTATAAAATAGGGATTAAATTTACGTTTTACACTTGGTAATTTTGAACTATGACCATTTATATTTTTAATTCTCAACGGCTAAGTATCATAAAAAGCTTAGATTAAAAAAATACCAACAAGATCCTAACAAGATTTTCATAGAGTATGATTTTCTCTTACGTATAATATCAATGACAGTCATAGTGAAGTTATACAAGTATAAATGGGTCTGAATCCTCTATCCACTATTGTATCCCACTTCATGTCCCACTCAATTTAATTGGTGTACATCATTTTAAATATCAATATTCTTTTTTTAATTTTAATAGCACAAAAAAAAAACAATATTACATAATTTATATTCTAGTCCTTATCTCTCTCTCTCCCTTTTTTTTTTTCGTTCTCTTGTATGCAATAACATTTAATTCAACCATTTCAACCTCATTATTTTTCTTTCTTTATACAACATTTATAACTCTACAACACATTATTATCTTCAAAGTTACTTCTAGAGTAACTGACCACATCATCATCATCATCATTCAATTGCTCATGATCTTCAAAAAATAGTCTGCAATTAGTTTGA